CTTTACAAGCCAGGCAATAGTTTAACAGTGCTCAGCTATTAAAAAAAAAAAAAAAAAAAAAAATCAGAGCCAGGATAGTAGCACATTATCTATAATCCTAACACTTGGGAGGCTGAGACAGGAGGATTTCTGTAAGTTCACACCCAGCCTGGGCCCTATAGTGAGTTGAAGGCAGCCTGAACAACACAGCCAGATGCTATCACAAGCAAACAAACCCACTTTTCAAAAGCACAAACATACTCCACCTTGGATAGCATTCAAAATAAATTATGTGGGAAAAAAAAAAAAAACAACAACAACTATATGGGCCAGGCATGCTGGGATATATCTGTAATTCCACAACTCTGGGCTGAGAGGCTAAGGCAGGAGAATTACAAGTTTAAGTCCAGCATGGGCAGCTTTACAAAACCAATCTGAAATTAGAAATGCAAGAAAGAATTCAGGATCTAGTGTCAAGCAAAGGCTCTGGGTTCAAATCTCAGAATTAAAAAGAGCAGCTATGGGGCTTCTGACAGTAATTTAAACTGGGCATGATGGCACCTGCCTGTAATGCCAGGCATGGGAGGCTGAGACAGGAGCACTGCTATAAGTTCAAGGCCAGCTTGAATTGCATAGTGAGGCCTTGTCTCAATTGAATGAATAAAAGAATGAATGAGTGCATGCATGCACTAAGCTCGCAAGGAAAACTGCTTTAGGAATTAAAAACGAAAAACAAAAACCTAGAAGAAATAAGCAAAATAAAAAATTCCTGTAAACCTGAAAACTGATAAAGTGAGATCAGCAGTGGCTAAAATGAGAGTGGGATTAAAGCAGCTGCAAGCAGGTGCATGGGCCAGGGGTTCAATCCCTGGGCCTGCTGTGCTGGCCCCGCCCCTGGGATGTGCTGAGAAAGCAATTGAGACTTGGGTGTGGTGGCCTGTAATCCCAGCTCATGGGAGGCTGCAAATAGGCGGATCACTAGTTCAGTCTAGTCTAGTAGTGAGACCCTGAACACCCTGTAGACCCTTCCCTAAAAGAATACTAAATAAATAAATAAAATAAAATAAAATGAGAGTGAGGCCCAAAGTTCCAACCTGATGAATGCCCCCAACTGGCAACCCCGGGGCACCTACTCGGAATCCCTCAGCTACCTGTAACTGGCTCAAAAACCTGTGCAACAGTAAGCAGAACACAGTGAGGAGATCCAAGCACTGACACCCACAACCCTCAAAGTTACCTCCTTAATTTGATCCCTCTCCTCCATCTGGTCTCTAAAACGACTTCTGGTTATTATTCCCTAGACAGGAAAATCCCAGGCTAATGGAAAATGCCTTGAACACATGAATTTTTTAAACCAAAATTCCTGGGCAATGCTCATACCAAGAGTATACAGTTTATTTACTACAGCCAAAACCTCTGTATTTTTAACGTGTCAAACTTCCTTAAAGCAGGAAAGCAAAGCTAAAATAATGCCTAGAGCAATTAGAGAATTGGAACAAAGAGGCTTTCTAAGCAACTACTAGAATCCTGTAAAGAACAGTCCTCACAATATGCTTCCCATATTATCAGCCAGAAATGATGGCACAAAAATTCTATCAACACAAAGACCTGTCTTTTTGATGCTAAAATAAATCCAGACAATGGCAATGGGCTTAGTGTAGGCCCTTGAATTATCACTGAATTAGAATTTTTCAGCATTCAGCACCAACAAATGTCAGTAGGCCTGAGATATGTGAAAACATAAGTTGCTATAGTAACTTGCACTTTACCCTAAAATGGTAAGGGTGCGGGTACGGAAGTAGGTCAATATTTCTGCTTAACTAGTTTTATTCCTTAGTTGCCTCTCCTTATCTAAACCAGAATCTTCTTCCCCATCTGAAGAGGAGCAAAAATGGGGAAAAACAACAGGGGGCTTTTCAAAAAAGAAGAGAGTGGGAGAAGTCTATATAGATGGAAGAAGAATGCTATCAAAACCTTACCAATCTCATGAGTAACCTGGGACTACCCCCAGGGAAAGCAGTTGCTGATCTAGAGCACCAGTGCTAAGAAACTGTTGCTGGGTTACTACAAATCAGAAACTGCCATTTTCGCTTCGCAGTTTAAGGGCATCTAATGGAACACTTGGGAATGCATTAACAGCTTGGGGTGGCAATCATGGCGGGGAAGGGGAAATACTCTAGCGTGGGAGAAATCTGAGGTCCTAGCCAGAGGCACTCTTTCCTGGTTAGAATCAAGGAACACAACTACTGGATTCACTAGAAGACTGGAGATGGGCTAAGGGATTCCTTTTCAGAATAGCTGATTTTGCCCACATGCAAACAGCGCTCTCTGCACCTGGCCATGTGATGGCTACTAATCCAAGAAGCTACCATCAGGCAAATGGTCTGAGCTGGTGTGCACAGTGCCAGAGCTCATTATCAGTTCTTCCAGCTGCAGTGCCAACAACAAAGGTGGGACGCAGGCTAAGCAAAAAGCATTTGGAACCAGGTGCTGCTCTATTTTTCTGCAGCTGTTCATGTCTGCACAGGGATAATGCAGGGGGCATTAGTAACAATTTTCACCATGTGGTATGAAGGTCTCAGTATTCTCAAAGACAATAGAAAAGATAATCCTTTAAGGGGGTCATAAAAGCAGAGACATCCTTTCTTTTTTCTTTATGTTTTGAGACAGGGCTTTGCTATGCAGTTCAGGCTGTCCTTGAACTCACTATATGGCCCAAGTTGCCTATGTCAGCCTCCCAAGTGCTGGGCTTACAGGTGCTGCTTTTAACTTCTAGGGTACTAAATTCTAAGTACCCTATTGCACTGTCCAGATGTAAGCCTAGACTAGACTCCCAAAGGAACTACTCAGCAGCCTATCTCCTAGAGTACAGGAGGATACTTTCAGTCTCTAATTTGAGCTTGTGTTTTCAAAAACAAGGCAGTGGCTGTAAATTGTAACCAGTGCTTCTACAGGGGGAAGGAGAGAGACACAGCAACATCCAAGGTGGCTGTAGAAACCAAGAACCGCTAAGACCTAGGAAAAACAGCTCTTAGGGCAAGCTGGGTGCTTGGATTGAGAAGGAAAACTTGCAGTATCAGGCCATGAGCCTCCATGAATACTGTGGAAAGAAAGAACACATGCTAAGCAGCTGTACACAAGCTTACAGTGGGTGGCCTTACACAACAAAGTCTGCCAGATGTGGTGGACATGCCTATAATCCAGTACTGGGCAAACACACACACACACACACACACACAGGATGGGGAGCAGAGGTGGAGAGGGAGGGGAAGGAGGGGGAAAGGAGGGGGAAGGTGAGCAGGAGGGGAAGGGGAAGGGGAAGAAGAGATGAGAGGGGAAAAGAGGAGGAGGACAGGAAGGGAGGGGGAGGAAAGAGGGAGGGGAGGAAGAGGGGAAGAGAAGGAGAAGGGAGAGAAGTAAGGGGAGGGGAGAAAGGAGGAGGGAGAGCCAAAGAAGCCAGCCACTCAGAGAGGGAAATGTGAGTACAGAGATGCTATTCTCTCTTTTTTTAAAATTTATTTATTTATTTATTTGTGTGTGTGTGTGTGGCCAGCTCAGTCCACCAGGGGGCGGACTGGCTGGCATGTGGTGCTGGGGGGTTGAACCGTGGTCCCTGTGCTTTGCCAAGCTTGTTCCAAGTAGGTGCCTTAGACCACTGAGTCATCTCACCAGCCCCGAGATGCTATTCTCTTACCACTTCCCAGCACAGACCAGAAAACCATTCAGCCTAGCAGGCTCAGAGGTAGTTTTTCTTTTATACACAATCACATGGAAGACAGACAGATGCTGTGAACAAATCGTTTGCATTTGCTTTTTTATTCCAGCATACAAAGCAGAGAGAACAGGTTAATCCTCCATCATTTACCTTTAAAACTGGTCAATATTTTATTTATTTATTTATTCATTTATTTATATTTATGTGTGTATGTGTGTGTGGCCAGCTCAGCCCTCCTGGGGGCGGGGCTGGCTGGCATGTGGTGCTGGGAATTGAACCGCGGTCCCTGTGCTTTGCTAAGCTTGTTCTAAGTAGGTGCTTTAGACCACTGAGCCATCTCACCAGCCCTAAAACTGGTCAATATTTTAGTGCTAATTTTATAGGCAAAAAAAGAACCCTCCACTTGAATGATCCGTGTTAACACATCAAAAAACTGCAAGGGCCTGCGAGATAGCTCAGCAGACTAAGTGCCTGCTTAGGCAAGCGCAGGGACCGGGGTTCAATCCCCCATACTGCATGCTACACTGGTTCTGCCCCTGGATGTGCTGAGCGGGCTACAGAGTCCTGGCAGGCATGATGGTGCACACCTTTATAATCCCAGTGCTGGGGAGGCTGAAAACAGGAGGATCACTATGAGTTGAAGCTGCATTGTGAGACCCTGTATAAAATACATAAATTTGAAAACAGAAAAACAAAAAACTGCAACTATAGTGCTAAGGATACAACTCAGTGGGCAGGGCATTTGTTTGCCCTATCACCTGTGCGGACTTGAGCTCAGGCCCCAATACTGGAGGCAAAGAGGTAGAGAGACAGTGGCAGACAGCCAGCTAGAGACCCAAAACTTCTAAATTCACCAGGAACATCAAGAAGCAGGGAAAGGGCCGGGAGTTAGCTCAGTGGAATAGGCGCTTGCCTGGCAAGCGCAAGGTCCTGAGTTCAATCCCTGGTACCGCAAAAAAACAGAGGCAAGGAAAGAAAAGCAGCAGGGGTAAAGAAAAAGAAACAGACTTTAATTTCAATTCCTGAGGAATGTCCACTAGAATAATTATACCTGCAAAGTATTCCTATCAGCCATGTTACCTGCACTTTCCTAAAAGAATCATTGCATTTCCAAAAATCCAGAGAAGAAAGCTACACAACTATCACAGGCAGCCTTCTAGGAATGTGTCTTATTTACAACTACTTCCCACTTTCCTTGAGGACAAACCTCAGGAAAATGAAACAATACAGAATTAGTTAATCTGTGACCTAATAAAACCCACCATGTGCTGGCATTCGAAGAAGCCAAAACAAAGGCTCTACTTACTGGTACTGTGACATTATCATAAAAACTCCAAGCTAAGGCCCATCTCATGGTCCGACCTTGACAGAACTCAGTGAAGGTGACTTTAGGAACCTGAAACCAACAAATACAGTGTCTCATTAATCTGAAGTCATGCTGGTATTTCTGGTTACTACCTCCTATTAAATTATGTTAGATTTTTTAAATTAGTTAAAAATATTATTTAAAAAGCAGTTGTAGGGGCCGGGGAGATGGCTCAGTGGAATACCACTTCCCTGGCAAGCGCAAGGGCCTGAGTTCAATCCCTGGTTCCGCCAAAAAAGAAGCAGTTGTACACAGTTAATAATCAACGAAAATAAAAATTTTTTCTCCTGTAAAACATTGAGAATTTATAACTGTAACTCAAAAGTTCAAACAGAAAAAACACCTAAAATTGCTCTTTGGAGAATCATTTATAAAATGATTCAACTTGTTTTTATGTTCCTTTTTAATAAACAGAGCCAACCAAAGCCTGGATATACACAGCCATGCAATCTATCACATTTTGGGAAAGAAAAAGGAATTATTTTTACAATCTTACCAAGAAATAGTTTTTTCTTTCTTGGCAGAACCAGGGATTGAACTCAGGCCCTTGCACTTGCCAGGCAAGTGCTTATTCTACTGAGCCATCTCCCCGGCCCCCAAGAAATAGTGTTTGGGTAAAACAGGATGAGTACAGGGTCTAGGAGAAAAGTGATCAGAAACTTGGTTTTCACTCAGTGGTAGAGCACTGGGGAGAGAGCAACAGACAGAGACACAGATAAAGAGAGATACAGGCAGATAATAAGACAGGCAGGCAGGCAGGCAGGCAGGCAGGCAGGCAGGCAGGCAGGCAGAGATAGAGACAGAAAAAGAGAAACAGACTTGGTTTCTACCACTGACCTTCTTTACTGAAAGGCATCGCCTACTTGTGCCAAACACCACACATTAGGAAGGAAGTGGTGCAGGGAGGATTTATTTTCAATCTGTCTTTAAAAACAGGATCAAGGGGCAAATGATCTGGAGAGTTAGCCTAGTGGGAGGTACAGTGGACTACAGCAGCACTGTGTTTCTAACTGATTTTAACTAGCTGTGTGCCCAAAGCAAGCTCCTCAACCTCTCTAGCCTTTAGTTTCTGAACTTATAAAAAGTCAGATGTGAGGTCTGTGGTAGACACCATGTTTTGAGGGATTGTTTTGTTTTGAGCCAGGGTCTCACTATGGTATAAAGTTCAGGATGGTCTTGAACACACTATGCACCCTAGGCTGGCCTCAAACGCACAGTAATTTTTCTGCCTTGGCTTCTTAAATCCTAAGATTATAGGTGTATGCTACAATATCTGGCTGACATCATGATTTTTGATTTCTGATTTTCTCTCTCATGTTCTGTTCATCCTGTTTCTTCTGTTATAATTTCATACGTCTTAATAACATATAAAGTCCCTCTTAACCCTAAAATTACAGATTTGTCTGAGACAGGGTCTCACTATACAGTTCAGTCTGGCCTTGAACTCACTATGTAACCCAGGCTGGCCTCAAAATCTCAGTAATCCTCCCACCTCTGCCTGAGTGCTGGGATTACACGTGGTTGTCACCATGGCCAGTTTTACTTTTTTTTTGACATGTCTCTGAGATGCTGGGAAATGAACCCAGAGCCTCCATCACAGAATTTATTTATTTATTTATTTATTTATTTATTTATTTATTTATTTTCTAGTACCAACAGTCTTTATTGGTTGCCAAGGTCACATGAAGGAGAATTCAGTAAATCCAGCTCCCAGGCCGGTGTCCCCAGACCTCCTTGACGCGGTGCTCCGAGAGCCACAGAAATTTTTTTAAAAGAAAATAAGTACAAAAATAAAAAAACAAACAAACACTATATTCAGAATTTTTTTTTTTTAATATTTATTTGTTTATTTATTTGTGTGTGTGCGTGTATGTGGCCAGCTCAGCCCACCAGGGGGCGGGGGCTGGCTGGCATGTGGTGCTGGGGATTGAACCGTGGTCCCTGTGTTTTGCTTAGCTTAGCTTGTTCTAAGTAGGTGCTTTAGACCACTGAGCCATCTCACCAGCCCCTATATTCAGAATTTTTGAGAAAATTCTATACTCAAATTTATTATCAAAAGTCATCACACCAGCTGGACATGGTGGCCCATGTACATAATCCTAGCACTCAAGCGGCTGAAGGAGGTTTGCCAAAAGTTTGAGATCAACCTGGGCTACACAGTGAATTCAAGCCTAGCCTGAACTACACAGTAAAACCTGGTCTTAAAACCAAAACCAAACAAAAAACACAAAAATCAAAAATAAGTCACCATAGCAGGAATGATAATGACCAAGTCCTACCCCTTGGATGCGAAGCTCTTCCTTCAGAGGAGCCAGGCTGCACTTCTTTCCTAGCATGCAGCTGTACCACCTAGGAAAGAAATCAGGCAAATGAATCCTTTACATGATGATATTTATTTTTATTTTATTTATTTATTTATTTATCTATTTATTTATTTTGTATTTTGGGGAAGGGTCTACAGTGTGTTTAGGGCCTCACTACTAGATCAGACTCATAGTGATCCACCTGTTTACAGCTTCCCAAGAGCTGGGGTTACAGGTGTACACCACCACTCCTGTCTCAATTGCTGTCTCAGTGTGCCCCGGAGGTGTGGCCGGCATGGCAGGCCTGGGGACTGAACCCGGGGCCCCTGCAACCTCTTTGCAGGAGCTTTAATTTGCTGAGCTCTTTGGCCAGCCTACATGGTGATATTTCAAAACAGGTTTACTCAGGCAGCAGGGCACAGTGGTGAACACCTGTAATGCCTGCAATATGGGAGGCTGAGGAAGGAGTATCAAGTTTAAGTGTAGCCTGGACAATTTTGCAATTTAATAATACCCTCTAAGAAAAAGTTTAAATTAGCATCATTCAAGTGAACAAAATGAGAACAGTAGCAAATAAATACTGAGTTAAATCACAAGTGATAACAACAAGAGCTGTATATAATGTATTTAGAGAAAGGCTAAATCTAGTAATAGAAAACAAGCCCAAAGCAACTTAGAAGAACAAAATTCTATTTAGCCTGGCCAGTCCTCCAGGGCTGTTCATATTTGGAAAGAGAATAAAGGAGACAGGTCTTATCTGTCATCCTTAGAATGAAAGCCATTTAGCTTTAGAAGTTAGTAAATAAATGACAACCAGCACCACAAAAAATGTACAAACACTGACTCTATTAAGATAATTTGTGAAAACCTGCCTATATTTGTATTGTTCTGACTTGCAAATTATTTTACTTAGAACAAATAATGAAATCATTTTTTTTCTATAATACATACAAGTGCAGAAAAGTAAGTGTGGAGAAAATTAGCTGAAACTGGCTGAAAGTTAAAGGAACAAAATCTACTTCTTCAGACTCTTCTAAAGTTTGCAAAATATTTGGTTTAATCTGTGTAGGATCAACTTGTTCAGAAATCACCCTTCTTCTATAAACAACTAGAAAACAGAATATATGAAACAACCATTTTTCAGACAGTGGGCAACTGGTAGCACAGACCTATAGTCTAAGAGAGAAACAAAGTGATGCCTACAATTGCAACATTTACTGCTAGAAGGAAATTTTCAGTATTTCTAGGCCAGAGTAAAGAAACTCAAACACAGCACTGAAGTCTTGCTGTGTTGATGAGATTGCAATTAGAATTGAGAAAAGTGAGCTGGTCAGAGAGCTCCGCGGGTTAAAGCACCTGCACAGGCACTCAGGGCCTGCCTAGCCGGCCCTGCCCCCTGGGCACACTGAGACAGTGAATGAGACTGGGCTGGTGGCATGCACTTGTAATCCCAGTGCTTGAGAGGCTGAAAACAGGAAGGATCACTACAAGTCCGATCTGTGTAGTGAGACCCTGTACTAAATACATTAAAAACAAAAAA